GACTCTCAACGACTTTGGGTGGCTCAGATATAGTATGTACTGCATGTGTATATGTATATGTATATAGTTCCAGCTTTTCCTCTTCAAATCTGTCTCAAGCAATGATATGAAGCGGCTAGTATTTTATTCCGACGGTTCTTCAAATCTGTTTGGTCTCCCCACATCTTTGTCATGTCCATAGGGAGAAAATAATTTCCTCTGCACAGTAGGACTACAAGCTGAAAATACCTTCCCCCTGTCTTTCTATTTTCACTGTCATCTAAGCTGTCATGAAATGAGTGGCCAAGCATGGTGGTGGAAGCTGAGTGAAGGGATCCAAGATGAATCTGAATCGAGACCAGACAGAAAGCATTGGTAGTCTGTGGAAGACCCCATATTTTGTGTACAGGTTTAGCTCCAGAAGCCACTGGTCAAAAGGCTCAGGTAGCAGGTGACACCAAAGACTTTTGCCTGTGAGCTACTTTTAACCAGCGTAGAAGAGAAATAGGTCTACTTGAGAGGCTATGTGATCAGGGGACCTTCAGCTCTTGAGAGATGATGTTATGGATTATAGAGATTATATCTATCCTGCGCTATCACTAAAACTGTTTCTGGAATCTAAGTCATTTCAAATATGCAAGAATACAGTTTTAAGTCAATTCCAATTGGGATCCTCTTTCTGCATTTCTTCCAAGTTCATACTTCTTTGTATAGGCAACTCATGGCTAATGGATTCCCTCCTCTTTCCAATAAATCCCTTTTAACCTACGGTTGTCACTTCAAAGAGAATAGAATTCGAAGGGTCCCACATGTAACACAAGGCCCTGACTGTCCGACAGCAGGGGAGACGCTGCAGATGGTCGATTAACATATTTATTAAAGGTGTGTTATCGGGATACACCTCCTGTAATTCCACACCTCATTTATAATCTGGAATAAGGGGCAACTAGGGTCAGTGCATAAATGCCATACGGAAGCCATTATATTAACACTCAAATGTCAAACCAAAATGCTTTGGGATGGATTTATGGAAAAGAAAGTCCTTTAAATCCCGTGGCTTTAAGGAAGGCTCAGAAAGGAATCAGGCTCTGAAATTATTCACTATAATAGTTTATGGGAATTTTGTTGTCACATGTATTATTTTTCCCAGTAAGTGAATCTAACACAATAGATGAATAGATGGATAAAGGTAGGTGTACACGTTTAGATAGAAAGATAGTTCATTTCCACATTAGGGACTTAGAGCGTCTTTCAGAGTCATCCAATGATTGTTCTGCCAACAGAATGGTAATAAAAACAGGCTTTTTATCACTTCCATGATGGCTGGATGAACTTATGAAGATGCTGTCAGTCACTAGCAGGGAAATGGTGTGTGTGAGAGAGAGAGAGAGAGAGAGAGAGAGAGACTGACATGTTTCTGTAGGTGTGAGATAGATGAATAGGTATATTTGTATGTATATGTGTGTGTGTTCACGCATGGATAGATGTGTTTATGTGCTTGTATAGACTGATGTATGTACATGTATAGATAGATTGATAAAAGATCACTGATTTTTCCTCCATAAAACAATTCTCTCTTTAGTGTTCCCATTTGATGAGTTTTCACCAGTCTGTACTATATTGACATAAAAATGTGAATAGAGGTTTTCCTGGTTCAGATCAGAAATCCATCTAGTCCATGGATGGGGGCTTTATATAATGGGGTCTCTCTCTCTCCCCCCTCCCTCCCTCCCCCCCCCC